ACAAACAAAAGTTATTGAGACAAAATCTATTATTTTCAAAACCAGAAACAAAAACAGTAACAAGGTTGATTTTGCTAAGCATCTGTACTGCCTCTGTCTTTAAAGAAACATACCAAAAAAATCCCAAAGAGGCACTAAACTATTTTCAGCATTCAGAGCTAGGACATTTTGCTCCTCAGCTTTCAGAATACTTTAACCATCGTTTGTAAAATAAGAACACAATGACTATTAACATGGACTTTAAAAAGGGCGTTTGGAAACATTTCCTACCGTATAATAAACATTCATTCAAACTCCATTCATTCATTCAAAAATATTTTTGCACGCCTACTGTGTTCTTGCCTCTGTAAGTAACCTTGGTGAGGAACCATAGAAATGGCTGATGCCTGGATGGAGTTTCAGTCCAGTGGGGAAGATAGACAATGAAAAAGTAAAGAAGAACAAGTATAACTTCCTGAAATGCTATGGATGCAAATTAATGTTTTTGTTGCATTTCTTAAATGTGATAGGTTGTGAATGACCAGGAAGGTTCTTACTGGCATCCATGTTTAAAATTCCAGCAATTAACCTTTTATAAGGATTTCCAATCAGGGCATTGATTGGTGGGTGGAGATTCTTGGAGAGCATAGTTGCCATCTGATTGCTAAATGTACTTAGAAACAGCATCACTTCTTTCATGACCCTTGGGCGTAAAAGATGCCATAAGGAATAATGACTTTAACTCACTCGGAAGAAGTACCAAGGAATTGACCATTGGAGGTTAAAAAACTGTTGCCATTTGATTGAATATGTATTCTTCACATGCTTTTCTGTGAAGTAAATGTTTTTCTAATTAGGCTTAAAAATGTGAAATTTTCTTGCAAAATTGATTTTCCATTAAGGCATTAAAGTAGTTTCTCTTCCCTTCTGCTTGGATACTAATTAAATTATGTTCCAACTTGTTTTAATTCTGCAATCAATTTTTTTTCCATTTGCACTAGATTACAGAATCTCATTTAAAAATCACTCTTTACCAAATTTTACACAAAGCAGAGGTGATAGACTTTTTCTCTAATGGAAACAAAACAAAACAGTAACTGCTCAAGTCATGAGGGCTTGCAGCGTGTCAGGGTGGAATGCTAAAAAAAGGCTTAGTTTTTTTTTCTGGTGCTGTCTATTCCTTATGCTGTTTTTAGATAACAAATATCTCTCTATATAGTAGTAGGCATGGAGATAAAAATAAATTTTAAAAATGGAATAAAATGTTAAAATAAAAAGGGTTTAAATACTTTGATGATCTATCTGATCCTGGGGTACAGAACTGAGACAACTTTAAAATTGGACATAAGTGAAATTTATAAGAAGGGAAAAATGGAGTCACAGCTGTTGATTGTAATGTTTGAAATAATTAAGTCAAAATTTTAAATAGATTATTCTAAAATGATAAAGATTGGTTTCAGGTTTGACTTGCGTATACCATAAATACTTATTTTTTGAAAGATTAAAAAGAAGAAAATCTTGAAGATTCAACTTAGACAGCTTGGGACTATACATATTGGTAACCTTTTGCACATTGAAGAATTGTATACTGATTACCAAAGATGATTTTGAAGCCATATACTGAGAAAGAAAAAAATTAAGAAACAACAGTTTTATATATAACCATCTCTAGGAACTCAGAGGATACATATTTCTGTTTTAAAGAAACAAAAATAAGAGAAAGGTTGACCTGTCTCCAAGGTCAAATTCCACCTTCATCTGTTAGAAGGTGGGGAAGTGGAGGAAGAAAGTAGTCGACCATGCATCGTTAAAAAAACAAACTGGCAAGTGAATGGAACCAGTGAGGTGGCTTTGATGGTGTAAATTTGCAGAACACGATCAAGCCAAATGGAAACCTCACCAGTAATATTTCCACCTAGGGACAGAATCAAATAGTGGGAACCATGTGCTTTTGTTGTTGCTCTTCCTGGTACAGCTTATCTCTTCCACATTACTTCCTTTTAAACATGGGTCTAATCACTTCCAAATGAGCTCTTACACTATCCATGTTCATTCCCATTTCTTTCTAAATTGCTTGCACATAATTTGGTCACAAAAAGTAGCACATAATCCTTTAAGCTACACAATTACTTCATCATCTTATGACTTATAGTTGTCAACTTTCTGGCAACAAAACCTGACTGCATTTAATTAACATCACAGAGTTGGCTGTCAGTGGGTCTGATTTAACCTGTTTAAATCCAAGTCTCTGGCAGAACAGCTTACTATGATTAGCAGTACTGTTTCTAGATTCCAAAGCTGTTCCTTGAATTCCTTTTTCTCACTTTCTTTGATATCTTTCATCTCATTATGACATTAAAAATAACGCTTAACACTGTTAGATGAAAGCAAAACTAAAATCATGAACAAAATTGCTCATGTAAATTGGAAAAACAATTTCTTTAAAATCATAAAACTAAAGTCAATCTAAGACTTCAATTTATTCACACAATTATAATTTTCTGCAATTAATGGACAGTGGCATGCAATGTTAGAGCACATATCATTGAGAATATATAATTCTTCATATATAAAATGTAATTGGAATCTTACTTCCTTTATTATGAAAAAGTTTCTAACTGGGTCTAGTCATCTAGAGATACTTTGTAAGCTAGACATCTGTCTTATATAGTTTTTTATAACCTATATCTTGATAAAGAGAAATAGTCCAACTGAAAACTAAAAATTTCTATTTCTGAGTAGAAATCAAGGAGGAAAGTCTCTAGAGTTTTACAAGTGTAATGATAAAATTAATATTTCCCATTAATAACTCTTACAGATACTCAGTGAGCGCAGTGGTGAGAAAAAGGATGGAGAAGTAGATAAAAATAGAGGGACACAACAAATGAGGAGATGAACACACAAAATGGGAAAAAAGAACACACAAAATTAACCAAGAAAAAGGTATGAGAGAGCTCTCACTTAGTGAACATTTACCATATGCCAGACTCTATGCTGGGTACTTCATATTCTATTCTATTTCATTGGTAAGTAAGATAAGGGGCAAATCATGTTAGGCCACTTTCTAGGTTAAAATTCTGAATGGGCAGTGTACCTAACCCCCTAGATTCTAGAGCGAAACCTGTCAACTTGGTGTTAAGTTTCAAATTCTGCTCGTACTCAAAGATTTATGGAAGAAGCAACTTGCTCAATGGTCTACATTACCTTAACTCAGAAAAAAAAAAAAAAATTTCACAATTTTTCAGAAACCCACTGGGTGTGATCTGGGATGTCATTACCACCTGATAATTATCCAGGTGAAGGTAACAAGTGTGAGCCATGCACGCTGCACAGGTGGGCATTGTGAAGTACCAATGGTTCATGTTCTCATATTCAACGAATAAGCCAACCAAACACCAGCCAACTAATGAAAACCAATCAGTTAATAAACATTTGTTATGGTCCTACTTTTCCCCCCAAACAATTTACACAAAGTCAAACACTTCAATAAAATATTCAATGAAATATCTCACTACTTTGTTAAATAATTATGAACACTGTAATTGAATGATTGAATTTTTTTCATTAAGATGTCTGTAACATTACTATTAGTTCACTTATAGGAAAGAACTATCCATAAAATCATATGATTTTAAAACTCAGTCTTTTTCTTGGGTATTCTTGAATATCCACAGTAGGGCTAAATCTGTCTCAATGTCTAAGAAAGGTTAGTCAACATTCTTAGCTATTGAGATGGCATATATATATATATATATATATATATATATATATATATATAAAATATGTATACATGAATATTATATACACAAATACTTAAAGCTCTGCTTTCTGTTGGGAAAGTATAAGTATATATACTTTTCTTTTTCCCAAAAAAAGCAAAGCCTAACTTAAGTATTTTTGACTCATTTTGTAAAATCAAATATCAAATAGCAATTTTAGAGTGAAAACTTGTTTCATCATGGGAATTAATAGGCCTGTTCTAAAACCTCATTTCATCATATAGGGGGTATAAAGTTCATAGCTTCAGATTGGTCACAGCAGACCTTAGGCTGAGAGGATTCCCAGGTGATGGACTTAACTGAGTTTCTCTGAAGGTCTGACTCTCTCCGTGATCTCCCTGGGGACCCCAAGAGGCCAGGGAATCCTAGGGACCTGGAGATCCTAAATGACTGAGCGGTCAGCCATCCCTTGGGTAATTACAGCTGTATGTCAGGAACTAAAGAGTGACTGGGAAAGGAGTTGTTTTAGGAATTTGGAGAAGCTACGGGTTTTTTGCTTTTCTAGTATTGTTCCACTGAAATATTTGCAGAGAAAAATGCTGGTGCCAGGCAGGCATTGCATAATCAGATACAATTGATTATTATGAAGCTTAAATGCACTGAACATATTGAACTTCCCTTTTTAAGTCATGGAAAAATACTGGGCTAAACTATTAAAACTGGGGATAAACAATGTGAGGAGTAGCATAAAATGTGAGTCATTTAAAAAATGGATTTAATATCAGGCTTTGTGAATTATATTTGATGTTTCACCAATTATGCTCTCATATCTTTAGGAGAAACAATGAACTGTCTGTGATATGAAGAAACAATCAAGGAAAAAGTACCATTTTATTTCTGTGTAATAGCTACGTAACCTATGCAGAAAACACAAAATGATTGTGGAAAAATATGAGAAATAAAATAATTTTTCATTGTCCTTTTAAAGCAGTAGTTTATGAGTGTGTGTGGCCTTTTGTAAGCTTTTAGAAAGAGTTCCTGTGTGCATGTGTGTTTGTTTGTGTCCAGGGTTGCTGTTTCTAGATCCAGTATACAAATTTCTCTCTCTCCTTTCAAATAACACCCAGAAGACCTGTACACTTTTTAACAAAGTGGTGCAATGCCTTTGTCCCTATTTTACCAGCTCTCAACAGCTAGAGGCCTACACCCCCCTTTGTAAAGAGTATTTCTCAGTAAGTTATTATATGAGCAGCAACTGGCGAGTACAGCTTGTGATGTTAGAAATGCTAATAATTGCCTTACCTCTTCCTTCTCAGCACTTTGCAGGTCACGCCATTCCTCAGTTACATGGCCAAAATCCACTGTGTTCATAGGGACTTTAAATTCTCCAATGATGTCATGCTTAGAGAAACGATCAAAATCATATACAGCCATCACCAGGGTTTTGCCACCCAATTCCGAGTATGGCACCTAAATAAAAAGCGATGAGGATAAAATATCCAGTCACAAAAATGCTTAAAACATGTTACTTGTTCATGGTGCTTAATTTAATATTTATGTTGCATAAAAAGAACAGGGATATAATTTTGTCTTTGGTTATTTTTTAAATTGAGACTTTTGACAAACTGCTTGAGGCTAAAATTACTTGAGAGAAAATGGGAATTTTTAGTGATTTATTGCTTTATCTCAAAGTTCTAGAAGCTGTTAGCATTATTAATAATGGATCCTGCTATTAGTCATGCTATGAATCCTTAAGATTAATAAAAGAATAAACAAGCCAATTGCATCTGACTATAAATAAGTTTTTCTTGTAGAATATTGTGTTGTTATTGTTGTTATAAGTTATACTGTCAGGGTGTAACTTACTGAGGGGCAAATAACTTTTTTCAAATGTTCCATTAACTCTTTCAAGGCATTTAAATGCCACAGTTCAATGGAGCAATGATTTATTAAAGACTATGCAAGGAGTCTGAAAGGATTGAAATGATATTCACAAGTGCCTCACCTACTCCTTAAAATAATTTGTTGATTGACAAGAACTGACTAGGAAATTGATGTTTTGAATATCAGAGGTGCATTATAATATGGGTTTTGAAGTTCATTCTTGGATATGACATGTTTTAGGATGAGTGGTGGCAAAAGGCCAAGAACTGATGAATTCTCCAGCTGTTCAAATATATCTGGGACAGATGCTATGGGTTGGGATGTTTATTAGTGACATTTTTAATATTCAGTGAAAGCAGTGCAATCCAAGTAAGCTACACTTCAGTAACTGGGTAGAAATACCTAATTAAGAAATTGTTTAGACTTGTCTTAAAGGTTTGATCAATTTTCATATACTTCCTATTATTTTATCAGTGTAAATGGTTGTCTTATGCTTCAGCAAACATTTCTCAATTAACTGTATATTAAGGAGGGAAGAAAAGGAAGAATATTAGGCCATCTACATAGAAGAAATTTTAGTTTTCCAAAGAGTTTTTCTTTTCTGTCATTTATGTATCATCTGTTTGGAATCTGATTATTTTATTAAGACGTTATGATTAAAAAGTAAGCATCATACTTTTTCCATTTTAGAAGGAATGGAAAACAAACCCTTCCAAAGGGCTGACTCTCAAAGAAAGAAACAAAATATTTTAGAGTAGGGATTAAACCCTTGAAAATTTTATTGTATATCTAAAATCTCTCTAGACTTTCTAATGATTGTACTCAAAGAGCCAACAGTCAAAAATCTGGGCTTGGGGTCAGACAGACCTTGTACCAGATTTGGACTTTCCAGCTAAAGGGCCTGGGGCACATGATTAAACATCAGTTTATTCATCTATTAAATTGTGAAAATACTGTAATAATGGCTGCTTCATGGGGCTGTTTTGGGGATGAATGAATATATGTAAAACACCTAGCGCAGAAGAAGCCCTTGAAAATATTTATTGTTTGAATGATTACTAGCTCCTTCAGATAACTGTTTGGAGGAAAAGAAGACGAATTTAGTTTCAGGCTTGTTGAGTTCCTGTTCAGTGTTTAAATCCATTGTAAAGCCAGCCCTCTTTAAAGTCTTTTATGCTTCCATTCCTATATCATATTGCCTCTTGGCATTTCAAGATGAGTAATCTACAATGTCTAACCAGCTCTCTAGAAAAATTGAAGTGTTTTTAAATATAGCAGAATATATTATACTGTGGATTATGTACAGTTTGATCAACCTGTCTGAAATAAAATGAAACTTGAAAAAAATGTATAGAGAATTCAAAAATTTCAATAATTATACTTGGTTTTATAGAAATTACTAATAAAATCATTAGCATTTTTAAAAAGAAATAATAATGTAGGTAATGCAATATAAAACAAAGCCCCAATACATTAGCTCATATAATTTAAGAATTTCCTCACTAAGTTTTGGTCAGAAACTGCTGACCTAAGTTAAGGTTAATAAATAGATGAATAAAACAACTGTGATTACTATTACAATATTTTTAAAATTTTATTTCCACTTTATGTTTTGTGGTATGTTGACTACAGTGATTAAGCTTCATGAGCAAATACTCTTCATGAGCTGAGTATTTCCAGAATGTCTTTACTGCTAATTTAAATTCACTGTCTAGGTACAGCAAAACCAGATTTTAAATAAGATTACTGACAATCCATGAGGGACCTTTGTCTTGAAAACTCAGAAATTTTAGAGTGAATAGAAAGACACTTCCCCTTTACATAATTGAAAACAAGGTTTGAGAAAATGACTCATGCCCTCATTTTCAATTTATTTTATCCCAGAATGTTTGCTAACACAAGGCACATGCTAAGCCTGGCTGATGGACGCGGTGATTTTGAATTAGCCTGCTGGCATATTCACAGACATTTCATTTTTCACAAACATATTGTTCTGAGTAATGCATTAGAAAGTTTTTTTTCGCATGTTAAAGATATCCACCAAAAGAATTGTTTTTATGAATGATTTCAAGCCTAGATCCACAAAGATCCTGGAGACCTGCAGGGCATGTTTTCCTGATGAGATATTATATGGCTGGAATCTCTGTTATTGTTTGTCAACTGAGGTGCCTCAACAAGATGAAGAACATCCGGGCAGAACCTAGAGTAAAGGAAAAAGGCTAGAAATGCAATAAAACAGTGTGTTCATATTCCTTTTATTGATTAGTTAAGAAGAATGACTTTAACGTGCTCAAACTGACCTTCTACACACAGAATTTTGTTACAAGAGTCATGTCTATTTGTACCATTTAAGCATTGGGACATAGCTTACTTAATCCTGGGATTGCAACAGATGTACCTATTTTCACGAACTTTGAAATTTAGAAAAATGATGATTTCATTCTTTTGGCTTTATGTTAGGTAGGGATCTCACTTTTTAGATGTGACTATGACATCCTAGTCATGTTCTAGTCAATTCCATTCCGAAATGACTGAACTGAATCGTACTCTGAACACACTGAAAGGCAATATTGAATCTTGACTGTAGTGAAGATACGAATTTTGCATGTTCTTACTGGAATTATTGTGAGTCCCTGAACAAGCATTCATGTGCATGTCTGTGTATGTGACAGGATGAGATCAGTCTTTTAACTAAAACAACAAAGGAAAGGTTATAAATAAATATTAAAAAATACCTTGAAAGTAAATTGCTCATTGAAGACAGGATTAAGGGTTTTTCGGTGGACTTTTGTCTCAAATTTCTTCTTCTTATCAGGTAGCAGAAACACTTTCACATAAGGATCAGATGTGCCCCCCATGTCCAAGGCGGGCAGTTCGGCAGCCTGAATGATCCCTACCAGCAGCTGAAATAAATGAGAGGATACAGCAAACATAAATATTAGTGGACGTTTTGGAAAAGATCGATTTGTTCACAATGCTGCATATTGGAATTTCTCCCTCTTCCTATTTCGTTTTAATAAACTCTTATTCTCTTATGAGTCTGAATACAGAAGGCAAATGAAGTGAGCTATGTAGACTTCGGAAACCCAATTATGACAGATGCAGGCTCTGGGAAGCCTGGTTTTAAGCACAAAGGAGGCTTTTTAAAAGGTTGCTGGTTGCAGTTAAATATGGAGTTCATTTTTTCAAAAGAGTTGTAATCAAATAACTTTCCAGTTGCTAAAAACCCTTGTGCATTGTTTTTCTTTCCAGAGCATGATTTGTAAGTGAAAATACATTGTTAAGCAATCGCAAGTTTGTAATTATAAAGTGGGAAGCTTTTATTCTTTATCAAAGCCTTAGACCAGCTGAGTAGAAATTTCTTAGAAATTGGGTAGCATTTTGAGATAAAAAATAAGATCTTCTAGTTTCTATTATATTTGACCTTCACTTGGGCGCTGGCTACATTTATTTTAACTTACAGTAGAATGATTATTATCTGTGAGATTCTGTGTTTAAATATAGGACATGGAGTCAAAGAAATGTAATTTCAGCTTCATAGGGAGGAAGGGAGATTGGAGGTGAGGCTTTTTAATGTTGAGTAACTATGTTTTTTATTTTTTCCAAGCACCACAGAACTATCTACATTTCTTTAAGTCTGTTTTCTTACTGATGCGTTCTTAAGCCTCATTATGAATATTAAAGTATTATGGCATTGTTAATATTTTTGCAAAGAAAAAAGAGGTGTGTGTACACCATCATAGATACTCTGTCATTAGAGATTTTGCGTCAACAGACTGATTTAGATCCATACAGGAAACAAAGTAGACTCTTATTGTTATTCAAGGTATATGCTATTTGGTAAATGCAGTAACACCACAGGTTTTTACATCACAGTCTGAGAATTTGAGTTCATGCCTTTTTAACTAGTAGAGTAAAACAGCAATTCACCTCCTTAAAAAAAAAGCATAGCCATTTTAATTGTGACTCGCCATGTACTTAAGTGCATTTTGGCTAGGTGGCTCAATTTTTAACATGGACCAATAACCTGAATGATTATGTTGTTTCCATTTTAATGCTTCAATATCTTTTTTGTGGAATCATGATATGACAATGGCAATAAGAATGCTAGATTGTAGGTACACAAAACACAGACAGATGGTCAAAAAATAGCTAAAATAGGCATCAGATTATAAAGACAAGATTAGTAAAGCAAATGTCTGTCTCTCTTTTTGCTAAATTTGTATTTGGTATTTACCTTTACGCAGCAATGCGAATAAGTAAGATTCTATTTCCTCATCCTCACTTTTTATAAACAATTTTCTTTTGAGCAGGAAAAAACACGAGAGAGATGGCTTCAACTCTTTAGAAGCTAGATGATTTATGATTTAGAGTTTCGGATATTTTGTTAATAAAGAATGAGGTTACTTTTTCCAACCTTGTTCTGACTTCTGCCTAAGAGATAAATATCACATTTCTCTCTACCATGAAAGTGTCTTAATTAAAATATGTTAGGGTTGTCTTTTAGTTTTGGTAAGCAAACATATATATTTGATCCAAACTTTATGAAGTTTTTCAGACTTTATCTTCCTGCCTCTTAGGAATCACTTTATAAATCAAATGAGAATATTTGGGAAAAAAATCAATGCGTCATATTTTTAAAATTCATCAGTTTCTCAGAATGAAATAACTTTTTAGATTTGATGTTTGCTGGAAAGGGAACAGTAAATGTACTCTTACTATATTTTAGTAAAAATATTTTCAGTGTTATTATTTTCTTAAAAATGCTACTTTGTAAAATGATACTTACAGTATTAATAATTAAAGCTAACTTAAAAGCTTCAAAATTATGACTAACCAGGATGAGACACCACTAGATTTCCACTGGAAAATATGAATGGTCAATAAATGATGAGAAAAGTATTGGATGCCTATAGAAAGTTGGATTAATTTTTTGGAAAATATGTTCTACATTAAGACCAATATAAGTTGTCCTTGATCTCTCCTAGAATATATCAATAAGAGGTTTTGCTCCTAACCAAATCCTGACGCTCAAATTTTAGTAGAAGTGATAGAAATGATCACAAACGTCATATGTAATTAAGTAAAAATGGTAGACTTATAAACCTGAACCTGTAAACCAATAATGTAGTTTTCTAGAACGTATTATGTAATAACTAGCCAGGGCTATAATGAAGCTGATCAAAAAATTATTTTTACTATGACAGCATATTTACACATTCTTCATGAGGAACCCTCTGGAAACTTCAGAAAGTGAAGACATTATCTGAACTGTCAATTCCTAAATAAAATACAGAATTTCTGCAACTGCTTAGAGCTCTCACAGCACTACTGACTTTGGATGTTAGTCATAAAAGATGAGCATTGGTGTTTTATTTATTTATTGTTCATTCCTCATCAAACTGGAAATCATTAACACATGCTGCATTACTAGTAACTGTATTTATTTTACATTCATCAGTTCTTCTTTACCCAAAAAGGTAAGTGAAGCAAAATGAACTGGAGAGGTTTAAAACTTTCCTACTTGGAGAAGGGCTATGTCTTACACATTTTTAAATTAAATTACATTAAATTAAATTTTTTTTGAGACGGAGTCTCGCTCTGTCAAGCCCAGGCTGGAGTGCAGTGGCGATCTTGGCTCACTGCAAGCTCCGCCTCCCGAGTTTACGCCATTCTCCTGCCTCAGCCTCCGGAGTAGCTGGGACTACAGGTGCCTGCCACCTCGCCCGGCTAATTTTTGTATTTTTAGTAGGGATGGGGTTTCACCGTGTTAGCCAGGATGGTCTTGATCTCCTGACCTCGTGATCTGCCCACCTCAGCCTCCCAAAGTGCTGGGATTATAGGTGTGAGCCACCGCGCCCAGTCTATCTTACAGAGTTTTAAAAACCTGATCTCTAACTTAGCTTATTCCCCTAATTCTTATCCAGCTTTCACATTTCTGTAACAATTCAGAAGGTAAGGAACATTTTCATCAATGTTGTGGATCCTGGAATGTCTTCAAATGTAAAGTGACTTTTAACAGTTCCCTTTCATCAATCTCTATTTTATTGACAGGCAGTCAAAAGGTAGCCACTATTATTCATCTAGGTGGCATTTCATGACTTTACGAGAAATTGAAGCAAAAATGCCTGTTTTGTTACCTTCTTAATTCCTTGTCACTTTTTGGGCAATATTCCTGGGCACTAGAAGTAAGTCTCTGGTCTTCTCACTCTTTTAGAATTGCTATCTCATTAGCACTAGGAGTTTCACCTAGTACCATATAAGGCAATCCTGCTTTTAAATTTAAAGGACCAGAGTCAATTTTTCATCTTTGATCCCTTATCAAATCATTCTATCGTTTTTCAAAACTTTGGCTAGAATAGTGGCTGAACTCAAAGGCCCCTAGCCCTGTCTAGTTCTAAATCTGTAGAGTCCAAGGGAGGTTGCTGCAGCTCGGGCTGAGGGAGCTGAGAAGGTGAGACTGTGGCTAGAACCTCTCAGAAGCAGACCGACTGCTTCAAGTTAATTTGTATTCTGTCTGCCTGCTGAAAGTGCCACAAGTAGATGTAATCGGTTGAATACTGTGAATTCTAATTACCAGAAGTTAAATTAGCAAGTAGGGGACTGCCTGTTCTTAGAAATTATTTCATCCATAGCGTTGATAATTGCATTTTCTGCTCGCAGCAAACAAAATATTTTAAGAAGTATCTTGCTGCAATTTCTACTTGGTAATTTCAGAAAACATAATGGAATTTGAAGACATTTCTCCACTTCAGACCTGGTTATTTTGGAAATCATAATCCAGTGAATATTGAAGTTTTCCCAGTTTCTCCTCTTCTTTGGGTTCTTCTTTTTCTTCTCCATCAGTCAATCCAGTTTCAGCATCATCATCCTTGAGGGCCTATGTATAGAGAAATGGATCACATGTGAATTTCAGTGAATTTTCATTAAAACTTAAATTGAACTGGGCCTGTAGTTACACTTCCAAGCTGTTCGAAGCAAGCACTAAGATGCTGGAAATCTGTTTGACACACATTCACATTTGCTGCTTACATATTTTTTTAAATTCCTTTTGTGCACGGAATTTTTTTCCCCAATCAGCAAGCAAAATGAAAGCGATGGAAGAAGCCCCTCAGAATATTGCAAGCAAAAAATGTAACATTGTTGCAAAGAAAGTATCAACTTGATGTTGTATTTGGCTCTGATAAAACTGCTGCTTTCAGAGGAAAGATAAACATGCTACTAACCAGGCCAGGTTTCACATTCATGTAGTTTAAAGAGATGCTCAGCATCATATAAAGTATCGCTACATGCAGTGGAATAATTAATATCAAATGCATGGCCTTTTGTTGCCTTGTTTCCTATGAAAAAGATAGTTCAGTAATGATCCTCAGAAAATTTAAATTCCCTGTGTTTCACATCTACATTTATTATGGTATGAAAAAGAGGAAAAAAACATGCCACCAGCAAATCCATGTTTAGAGAAAAGTTCACCCCACTTCCAGTTTCAGTTTACCACTTTATTTTCATAACAGCTCCACCAAAAGCTAGGCTGAATTAAATTGATTTAAGAGTCTATTTGATATCAAAAGATAAAAAGAGTTAGGTTTGCAATTCTGTCAAAAACAAATTGGTATAAGAATTCATTTTGTATTTAAGGGCAAAATCAATTGTATTGAACTCTCAAAACTCAGTCTGACCAATGGAATACTCTTTATAACCTAAAACTTAAGTGTACTATAAATGGAAATATTAGAAAGCTCATTATCTCATAAGTTTCATTCAAATGCTCTTCTTTTTAAAAAATCAAAAAATATAATATTTTTTCCAACATGCAAACATTTTCCTAAAAATATCAACATTTATAAAGGTTGTAAGTACATGAGTTTTGTTTCTAGGGATGTGCAATTCTTATTGCTTTAAGTAATTAGAACAATTAATTAGAAATCTATACACAGTCATTACTCAAAATTTAAAATAATATAAAATTACATTTTCCTGACTATGTGTGAGGTTGAAAAGATTAAAAACTGTGTATGAACCATTTGTATTTTTTCTTCTGGGGACTGCCTGTACATAGCCTTTGCTAATTTGTCTATGTATTGTTTGCCTTTTTCTTATTGATTTGCAAAGGCTCTTTGTATTTTAATGATTTCAACTTTGTTGTTATGTTATATACAACAATTATTGTCTCCTAGTTTTAGGTTATAGCATTTTTATTGCTATTTTTGTATATGTGTATGCATGCATGTATTACTGTAGAATCTCACAGAAATCAAAATGGACATACCAGTGGTAGATTGTTTTATATCTCTGACAAAGTAAAGGAATCTTAACTCTTGTTAGCTCTCAAATTGAATCTAAGAATTCTCATAGAACTCAAATGCAAGAATTATAACCAGGTTGTAGGTAGGCATCAGTCATCAGACCACAGTTCCTCCTCTCTGCTACCCCCGCATCCAAGACTACATGGTCTTTTTTCTTTGCTGTGTTCAGCATTCTCAGGAAGGAGATTCTCTGTTCAATCCACCCTCTTACTCAGGGACCTTCAGTGATGCTTCAAAATGGCACCCTCGGTCCTTGAATTTAGAAGATTTTCTAATTTGGCTTCACCCAGTTAACTCCAATTTGATTCTAAAAAACTGAGACTCGGCTGTATCACAGGTTAATAGAACTCATTCAGGTGGGAAGGTCATATAAACAGAATTGAGCTGTTGTCAGAGATGCCTCTGCTTTTTTTGCTGGAAATTTCTTAGGAACCGACAGTGAGTTTTGAAAATTGAAAATTGCCGTCATGATATACATCTGTGTAGAAACATTATCAAATTTGGTTAGCTACAAACCACTTAATTTGGAAAGTTTAATCTATGCTTGGGTGTTTCTTTGAATGTTAAAATGTTGAATTACTAATAGGGCTAAAGACAGGAAATAACATGAAAATATTTTAAAATTTATATTAATTGTTTAACTTGTGAACAAGAGGCTTGGTCACTAAAAGTAACATGTGATAGTAAAGTGACAAAAAAAAAAAAAAAGACTACTGAGTTTAGTTAGAGAATTTTAGGCAGTGGAATCCCTTTGCCCTTTCAAAACCCTAGCTGTGTATAAGTCTTTAACACTGTCGTAGATGTGCTCAGGAAATTGCAACTTAGGTAATTTGCCTCCCTATAAGATTTTTGGTTTTGTAAAAATAATAGCAAACTATTTAACATCTATTTCTGTTTGATAAATCTGCATGTCAGTCTATTATTATAATAAAAAATTCATCGATTAAAATACCTTTTCAAAAGTCTCTTTCAGAACTGAATTTATGTATCATGTTTCAGCCCAGTGCAATTTGAAATAGCTGATATATTAAATCTCCTTCTCCCTAAGTGGCTTTTACCTGAATAGAAGGCAGGACCATCTCTGCAATTATTCTGCATGAAATAGGGCTAAATTTTTGATAATTTCTCAGTGCCACTGTTCATCACTGAAGTGATTAAGTCTATTCCTGTCCCAAAGGCTGAGCTTAAGCAAGACATTTTCTGTACCATCACATTAAATTCAGACCTATTAAATCAGTAGCTATTATAATATCTCAAGAGCACTATTTTCCCCTCCATGGAACAAAATTCGGAAGAAAAAGCTTGTACTCCTAGCAGTTCTGAGGTTTGATAAATTGCAGTAGAAAAAGCTGGGTTGGGAATATCAGACCTTATTTTAAATTTCAAAGATTAAGTGCACATGCTTATGGTTTGCTTTGACATTCAACAGGTGCTGTGTTCGCAACCATCAGAAGGAGCATTTGTTCATTCTCAGTGACATTGTTCAGATTTGGATTTAATAAGGCACACTGGAAAAGTAGCGCAAGGGACTGAATTTCTTTCTGTGTCCATCAACTTAAAACTTGAGCTTTCTAATACTGTTATATTTAATCCGTTAGCATGTTTAAAATGAGAACACCTTAACTTTAAAGAAATCAATTTAGTTCAGCCTCTTGATGTGTGTCAGAATGATATACCCTCAGCTGTGGAGCCCCAGGTGCCAGGCCACTAAATGTATCTGAGCGTTGACTAGGGATGTCTAAGTAGCAGAGGAAACCTACCGCAAGGGACAGTCCAGAACAGTCATGAGACACAACACAGATAAGGACATAGAAGGAAGAAATAAAAATTAAAATATCCACACACATTAGTGAAAACCATGGAGAAATGACCTTTCCAGACCTATGGCTTTACAAGTGAGTATTTTCCTTCTGTCTGGTTAGTGTTCTCTAGTTTTAATGCATACAAAAGAACACGTAAATATGTATTTTATGCAACATAAATATCTATACTTTTTGTAATTATTGCAGAATATTTAAAAAATCTTCCTTGGTTTCAAAACCTTACTATAGAGACATGTAGCCATGAATATTGAAATTTGAATTTCTGTGAGTTTGATATGAATTGAAATGGTAAAAATGTATTGATTGTCCTAGAGCATTTATATCCTGTATCTAGAGCCTATATATATATCTCTTAAGATTAAGAAATTATATCTAAAATGCCTCTCACATCTGTCTTGTTTTTAAACGAGAGAGGCATAAGCCATCTTTATTTTCTTCCCATGTTCACTTCAACATTCTGCTGAAGATATTTTGAAAATATAATTATTTAATAATAATTTTAATTTGTATTCATGCTGTTTTGATTTTTGGGTGATCTGGCGATCATCATGTGATAAAACATTCTCTTAAAATATGCACATTCTGTTTTGCTTTTTCAGTCATCCTCTTCATAAACTGATGGAACCCATGATTAGCTACTTTTGTCTGCTTCAAAAAGTAGCATAAGCTACAGTTACATAAACGTTTATCCCTGGAGTGTATATTCATCTGTCTGAATTATATCTTATTCTGTGCATTTAATTGCTCATAACTTAGTAAAATTGAGACCTAGCTAATGTCCTATGTAGACAAAGTGATCTACTTAAAATGACTGAAAACATCTTTTTGAGTGGTTGACATTCTAAATAATTTGCAATAACAGATTGTTATAAACTATCACTGACTTCATAATATCTCTTTGTTTGAATCATTTTCTCTGTCTCTCCCCATCCAAAAAATAGATCATCAATGAAAAATTAACCCCCATTAATTCTCTATATTTGAGATCTTGGTCATTTATCCAGGTCATAACAGGGGTAATAAACACCACCACTATGCCATAAATTATAATCTTACATCATACAGAACAAATCCCACAAATATTATAGATTTATTGTCCTAGGAAGAAATGTTATAGTTATCACTTAACATTATTCAGTAATTTTAATTAATTCTAGAACACAGTGAAACCACATTCAACTTTTATGATAATTATGAAAATGATAGTAATCTATTGTCAAATTATTGTTTTCATAATATTGATAAAATTAACATACATATTATTCAGTCCATGTCCATCTAGGAGGTTATTTCCACACTTAATCTCCCAATAAGTTGTTTAAATAAATCTTTATCAAGTCCTGCTTGCTATGAAAAGTGTGGAAATAAAGACATGATTTGAAATTTTAGTTTCTACTTCACTGAAGAGAAAAATCTTTGTTAGACACTTGTAGTTGGACGTTTATGCATTGGCTTTTGTGACTGTGATTAGAAATTGCCAGAAAAATCAAACTCTTACTACTCTGAGCTCAGTCCCAAACTCTCTGAGTATGAGTACAGGCATTCCATCCATTCCACAGCTCCAAAACCAAACAAAAATGCAGGAAGTAAAAAATGAGCCTTTGTGAAATTATTATCAATAGATACTGCAGTGTCTTTGAGGAAAAAGAGTTTAAAACTCAAGCTGGGAAGGGGAGTTAGTGTCCTGAATGTGTAATGAACTAGGAAACAACGCCAATGTACTTAAAATGCCTGTTGTAACACTTGATTAAATTGTTCTTAAGGAGATTCAGGTTTAAGAGTTTGATGAATAGTAATTAATAGTATAAGAGGAATTTATAAAACTGCCTATGTATTTTGCTATTTGGGAATAAATAAAACTTTTGTATTTCATGGAAAACATTGATAATTGAAAATGTGATTTCTATAAAAAATCTGTATATATACAATTTAATTTTAAAATATGAATTAAATATTCTTTAGAGATATTCAATATGAATATTATTTAAAAACTGAAGGGGCATTTAAAATTATTAATAATAGTAAATGTTATCTTGAACCAAGTTGTCCAATTAATTTAGCCAAAAACAGATAGCAACAGAACGAACAGGCCAAATCGCTTTTTTGGGCTTGGAAAGATAACCCAGCCAGATGGATTTTATAACCAGTGTTATGGTTGTAATTGTCCTTATTAAATTGAAATGATAATTTTGTCTTTTAAGAAATAAGAAAGAAAACTTTTTTATAAGGCAAAAATTCTGTCCTGTCTTGTTCTTTAGAACTGGCTCATATTCCCTCCCTTCTCCCATATAATCCATTATTCTTGAGAACTAATTTTCCAACTGGATGGACATGTAGGAAAAGCAGCTTTCATCAAGTTTGATGAACAGCTGTAAAACTCAGTTATTTAACAGCAATTATGAACAGTAGAAATTAGAAAGATCCCCTGCCCAACTGCAAAAACACTCAGGCACTTTTTATTTGATTTTTCTAACTCTAAACACAATGAAGACTGGTTAAACTGATGTAATCAAAATATTCAGGCATCATTCTCATATGCCAAACCCATCAAGATGGACCTGATGATCATGGATTCCCTTTTCTGTTCTATATGCTCAGGAGATTGGAAAATCCTGGCAAATGCCTCCATTATGCTTTGGGATCTTGAACAATGACTGAAAAGTTTGCAAAGCATCTCAAAAACAATATGGGTCCAGAAGTTGTTTATTTCTATAATTATATGGCATAAAATAATAAACCGTTTGTTTATCATTTTTAAACAAAATAATCTAAGAAGAAATGTGGAAAGAATACATTACCTGATCTTTCATTGTCTTCCCTAAGTCTTTTACATCTTTCATGTTAATGGCATTCTTTCCTCCTTTTTCCTTTCCCTTCTTCTTGTTTTTCTTTTTGAACAAACATTTCTTACAGATACAAAAGCAGCAGGTCAGGACTAAAAGGACTGCGACTATGGCTATTGCGATTAAGGCCCACGGTGGCACTGAAAGAAAGAAACACACAGAGAGCACTAGTCATACAACACTTAGATGTGCAAAACCTTTTAACTCATGGGCTATAAAAATATTCATTTTTTCATTTGCATTTTTGAGCACCCGTTATGCTGCAGGTACACCATTCCTCAGTACTTTATCTGTGTTGTTGTCTCCACTGAGTGTATTGCTTCCTTTCTTTCCCACTTTGCCCTTCCAGATATATCAAATGTCATCTCCTTCCTATTACTTTTCTTGACTCTCCAAGCTAGATTTCTAGAAATGCATCTCTTCACTCATTCAGAGCCAAGCTTTGGAGTTCAGCCATTGAGTTTAAATCCTGGCTCCACTATTTACTAGCTGTGTGATCTTGGGCAAGTCGTCTAACCTCTCTCTGCCTCACTTTCCTCATCTCTAAAGTGGAAGTAAATTGGTAGGTACCCCATAGATCTTTCTGAGTATTAAATAATAAGATGCAGTGCCTGGCACATGGCAAAAGCTTAATAAATGGCAGTTGCTATTACTCATCTCTAAAATACTAGCATGTTCTGGCATGGTGGAGGACAGATATTAGTCATATATGTAGAACAACAAATGTAAAATCATAACAATAGTGAAGGTTAAGAAGTACTTGGTGATTTGAAAATCAATCATGGGGAAATGCATGCACTGAGGTTCTCTAGATGTGGGTGATGCTCATGCGTTTGGTGGCTCTTAACCCAGGTGTAGATTTTTTTTTTTTTTTTTTTTTTTTTGAGACAGTCTCGCTCTGTTGCCAGGCTGGAGTGCAGTGGCGTGATCTTGGTTCACTGCAACCTCTTCCTCCTGGGTTCAGGCGATTCCCCTGCCTCAGTGTTCTGAGTAGCTGAAACTTCAGGCATATGCCACCATGCCCAGCTAAATATATATATATATATATTTATATATATATATATTTTTAGTAGAGATGGGGTTTCACCATGTTGACCAGGATGGTCTCGATCTCTTGACCTTGTGATCCGCCTGACTTGGCCTCCCAAAGTGCTGGGATTACAGGCGTGAACCACGGCACCTGACCAAAGTTAGCTATCATTTCTTTACAGTCAAGGCATTGTGGGTAAGGTAAAGAGCTCAGGACATATGAAAAAACATAAACTACTCACACAAATAAATATGTAAAAAGCAAGATGAGTACCCTGAGGGGAATTTAGTGAAAATGCAAAGGGAATGACAGGAGGAAGGATGATTTTTAGATAAGAGGAGAGGCCTAGGTTTACAGGCTGTTTAAAATAATAGAACATATATACATAAATATACTCAAATAAAGATTTAGTTTTCTATTACAGTTGTCCCTCTGCTTAGAGTTGGTATATTTTCTTATTTGGTATGCCTTACATCATGTGCTTATAAAAAATAAGGTGACGTGGAAACATTTATGATTTCGGTTAGGTTGAAAGGGAAGTACTCATAAAAGAAATCACAGCTATTGAAATTAATCAGAAGTAATTTTATTTGTCTGTTGTAATAAAAAACGATACTGGGCACTGAAATGATAAGGGAAAGCCAAATAAACATTACTAGAACCAATGATTGCTGAACACCAGTCAGGAGTACTTTGATAAAGTAAAAACACTTAAAAATTAACCTCTCTTCAAAATTGAGAAAATCTACTCTCTTTGCTTTTCCTCTGCATTTAGTATTATTGTGCAGAATACTTACTATGCATATTATTCCAGCTTATGACTGGATACTAGATGTTAACCTAAGGACATAAAATAAAACTACAACTTTTGAAATTGTGCTTTCTACCAAAGAAATACTTATGTGAAAGTTACAGATAAACCCACACCCAAAGACGTTTTCTTCCAGTTTTCTGAACTTATTAAGCAATGTAAAGATTAAAAAAGTAAATTATTTTATGTAACCAATGATGTCATTCATAATACTTCATTTAAAAGCATCTATCTCCCTTGATCTAGCTAAAATCCTGTCATGCATTAACAAGAGAGTGTACGTATCCATTGCAGGAAAGATGGCATTCATAATGACCCTTCATTTTGAACCTCGTAAATTATTCTCCCAGTTGGACTTGTGTGGTGATAATCACTCAGAGAGCTACATAAAAGTCTCTTAAATTATACAAGACAAGACAAAGATGACTTGACAAGTTCACAAAAAGAAAACAGTGAAAGCAAAGGAACATTATTTAATCAAAGGGAGTTAAAGAGCTAGGAACATGAGATTACAAGAAGAAATGTGAAATAATGCAACTTGAAGGGAATTTATAACCACTGGACAACTTTTATTTTATGGCTTTTATTTCTTAAAGCACTGCCGTCTTTTAGACTTGCCTTCAGTTTGAATAACTTTAAGTTGGAATATGCTATATTAAATATAATTAACAGAATTTTCTTCACAATGTATTTGGCACCTTTAGATAGATAAAATAAAAAAGTGCTTAAAGTTATCATTTTGTATAGCTATAGGATAGCTTGACTTATTAGTCGTATATCATGTAAAGAAACAGCCATTTTTAGTAAATAGAGTACTAGGATGCTCATGTTAAAATTTTATTTCATTGCGTAGAGTAACCAAATATTTAAAATTTGTCAAGTTTACTAAGAAACAACACCCAGAGTATTATTCATCTGCAGTATTTCTAGAAACGTGTCTCAGTATTGGTCAGCAAATCTTCTGGAATATATTTTGGATCAAGCTAAAAGTTTATGGAAGACCTACCTACCTGTTACGGCCCAGCAATTGGGCTACAGTTATAGATACATTATCTCATTTAGTCTTTGCAGCAGTTTTGTTCAGTATCACTTCAGTTTTACAGAGGAAAAACTCTATAGGTTGAATAGTTTGAGAAATTCAAATTTATCTTTAGGTTGTTAGGTTAAAAATGTGATTATTAAAAATGTATACAGAGAAAAAAATTTGTATCTAGGTTTAAAGTCTCTTTAATAGAACATGTTCAATTAAAAAATTCAGTGAAGCAAATAACAGCATAAATGCAGTGATTTCTTAAATATAAAATAAGAGTTTCAGTCAAAAAAAATAGTCTCATCAAAATACTGCTACAGGCAGAAAACTATCAGTTTATTGTTATTGCTACCCAACTATCATTACGTGGAAGTTTATAATAAGAATTTTAACATTCAACTTAAAGGCCTTTCAGCAGAAAATAACAGACTAGTATAAAAACTCTGTTAAAAATATTATTTTCATTTTCTGGTTGATGAATCAATCTCACATATATTATTTGACCCAAAGGTAAATTGATACGTAATAATTAAGTCCAAGGCAAATTAATTTAAAACTGCTTCTGATGTTTTAATTTATACCTCGTGGTAGACATGATAATGGCCCCTCCAAGATGTCCACATCTTATTTTCTGGAAGCTGTGAATATGTTACCCTGCCTGGTAAGAGGGACTTTGCAAGTGTGATTAGATTAAGGATCTTGAGATGGGAAAATTATCCTGAATTATCTGAGTGTAGACTCAATGCAATTACCAGAGTTTTTTATAAGTGAAAGAGGCAGGCAGAAATGTCAGAGTCCGAGAGAGAGAGATTTGAAAAGTCTCTGTTGCTGGGTTTGTAGATGAAGAAAGGGACCATGAGCCAAGGAATGCAGGTGCCTGTTGAAGCTGGAAAAGGCAGGAAAATGGATTCTCCCCTACACCTTCAAGAAAGAACTGGCCCTGCGGACACCTTGATTTTAGCTCAGTGAAACCAATTTCAGATTTCTGACCTCCAGAATGGGAAAATAATAAATGTGTGTTGCTTTTATGCCAGTAAACTTGGAATAATTCATTATAGCAACAATAGGAATTCAAATGATACAAAGAAGACCTCAAGAGATTTGTAATATGTGCTGTATATAGGTAACTATATGTTAGTAATATTCATGTGGGCTATTCCTGTGTTTTCTGCTGTCTTTTCTTCCTTATTTATTTATTTTAGTAGCTCTAGGGGTTTGGTTAAATGGATGAATTGTACAGTGGTAACGTCTGGGCTTTCAGTGAACCCATCACCTGAATGGTGTACATTGTATCCAATAGGTAATATTCAATATCTCATTCCCTTCCCACTTTTGAGTCTCCAGTGTTCATTATACCACTCTATATGCCTTTGCATACCCATAAGTGAGAACATGCAGTTTTTGGTTTTCTGTTTCTGAGTTACTTCACTTAGGATAATGGCCTCCAATTCTAACCAAGTTGCTGCAAAAGACATTATTTTGTTCTCTTATCATAACTGAGTAGTATTCCATGATCTATCTATATCTATCTATATCTCTATATCTATATCTGAAATTTTCTTTATCCACTCATCCATTGATGGACACTTGGGTTGATTCCATAACTCTGCGTTTGTGAATTGTGCTATAATAAACATGTGAGTGCAGGTGTCTTTTTGATGTAATGGCTTCTTTTTCTTTGGGTAGATACCCAGTAATGGGATTGCTGGATCACATGGTAGAACTGTCTTTAGTTGTTTGAGAACTCTCCATACTGTTCTGCATAGAAGTTGTACTAATTTACCTAACACATCAACGGTGAGTAAGAGTTCCCTTTTCACAGCATCCATGCCAATGTCTATTGTTTTTTGACTTTTTATTAATAGCCATTCTGATTGTAAGGTGACATCTCATTTTGGTTTTAATTTGCATTTCTCTGGTGATTAGTGATGTGGAGCATTTTTTTCATATGTTTTTTGGCCATTTGTGTGGCTCTTTTGAAAAATATCTCTTCACATTTTCCCACTTTTATGGGATTTATTTTTCCTTGTTGATTTGAGGTCCCTGTGGATTTTGGATATTAGCCTTTTGTTGGATGTATAGTTTGTGAATATTTTCTCCCATTCTATAGGTTGTCTATTTACTCTGTTGATTATTTATTTAGCTGTACAGAAGTATTTTAGTTTAATTAAGTCCTATTTATTTATTTTTGTTTTTATTACATTTGCTTTTGGGGTCTTGGTCATAAATTTTTTTACCGAGGCCAGTGTTGAGAAGAGTTTTTTCCCTA